TACGGAAACCTAATCCAATGTTAGTATTGCCACTAAAATCTTTGCTAGGATCGCTCCTCATGCCAGTTCTACCACCAATTCCTTTCATCATTGTCTTAGACAAAACTCTTATCTCCACCATATCCACTACCCTAACCATGTCCTTATCCTTTGCCAAATTTTGACCATCAATTGCACAGCAATGGTTGGCATCTTCTCTGCCTCCACTACCTCCTCCTCCATCACTATCTACTCCACCACACTTTTCAAAACGTTTACCATCACCAAAACCGCTACTAAAACTGTTGCCACCACGATGACCAATTCCTCCAATGCCAAAGCCACTGCCATGACTAGGCCCTCCAGTGGAACCACCATCAGCTCATCCTTCTCCTCCAAAGCCATCACTATCTTTGCATCCAGCAAATCCAGCACATGCCCCAAAAAATGCATCCAAGTCTATGCCTCAATTGATACTACTACCACCATCTCCACCTCCAGAGCACCCATCACCACCACCACCCCTTACAAAAACCCCATATCCAAAACTTTCACCATCACCAAACCCACCACCTAATCTTAAGGTGTCAAACACTTCGACATCATTCATAGCTTGAATGGTTCGTTCGTAGGGATGGGAAAAAAAAAAAAGCTTAATAAAGAAGCAGCCTCAAACTATAGTCTTAAGGTTGTAGTTGTTGAACGCGCAACCAAGAGGAGAGCTATAGGAGCTATAAGCTAATAGAATAGGAAGCTACCGAAGAACCGAGCTACTAGGAAAAAAGAGCTACTAGCTAGCAACTAGGAGAGGAACTCTAAACTAGCTACTAGAGGAAGTCAACAGAAATCCTAAACCTAAGGGAAATATATTCTCTCACTTGCCCGCCGTTTTGAAAAGACTTGAGGAGCTACTCGAAGCTTTGTTGGACATGCGATAGCTTGTTGAAGCTTTGCTTCCCCTAATATTTGACTTGTGAAGAGAGCATGTGTAACACCTTGACCCAACTCCATAGTAGTCAGAACGCTAATTTTCTCAATAATACAAAATCCAATTTCCAAAGCAATACACATTTCAACTTTCACAAAATTAAAACAACAAATTTTCCGAGCATCAGTCCATATGCAAATCCCACTTAGAAATTCCTTCTCTAACCTCGAAATTGATTCACCTCCATCCACCCTAGTTGTTATAGTTGTTCCTATTCCTGGATACCTTTTACCCTAAAAAAGATGTAGAGAAAATAGGGTGAGCGCCAATATGCTTAGTGGGTTAATCCAATTTTAAAACAAACAAGGTTTGAATATAAATAATTTGTAGTGATTGGGAATTAAAATAGATTTACAAATACTTATATATAAGTTGAAACAATTTCAATATCAGCCAGTACCCAAGACTGAAAGCTACTGGGCCACCAAAACTGATGAACTCAGTGAATCCCACTATGATTTCATCCTGGAATATAGGTCCTCTGCTGCTTAATTTTATGTGCACATACTTTTCACAAAAATGGATATAAGTCATTTTTTACAAAATAGATCAAAATGTCATGGTTTAAACAGCTTCGAAGAACACACTCGAATCTGAACTTACCAAACACAGTAAGCAACCCCACATAGATAAAAAAATTTAGAACTTGATTTCTAAAATAATTTGAGTATTAAAAGGTTAAAAAATCCAAGTCTCTTTGAGAACTGAAATAACCTATCACCGGTTCAGATTAGTTTTATCCTCTTTCTCTCTCCAGTTCATCACTTTTCTTCTTTCTTCCCCCTCTTCTCTTTCTTGCCTCGTCTTCTTGGTTTTCTCTCTATTGTTCTCTTCTTCTTTCTTTTATCTTCTTTGCCACATAACAAAACCATCCTATGTATATAACACAACAAAAATATTAACAGTCCCTTCCATGGACATGTGTCTCCATTGCATGCAATGACTCCTTTTCCTCTAGACACTTTGTATGTTCACATAGATGTCACCTCTTTTCCTTGTTATACCTTGTTGCCAGTTCAACCAACCTTCATTTATTACTCTTCCATGCATGATGACAAATGTCCTCACATTTTTCACTCCCTCACAAACATCTTTGCACTTTAAACTTAGTCACTTGTAGGGGTGACCCAAGATATTTTGAGGCCTAAAGCAATTACACCGAATGAGACCTTTTATTTTTAATATTAAAATTGATTTATTTTTATTTTTTTGTGTGTGTGATAGAGGGAGAGTGAGTAAGTATTGCAGAGAGTTGTTTTAACTTTAGTTTTTATTTTTTAAGAGAGAGAGTAAATGTGGGATAAATACGACTTTACTTTTGAGTAGATTTTTTTTATAGCAATGCTATTGAAATTTAATTTATTAACCTAATTTACTGATCTAATTCACTATGGTCTTTGGATTGACTGTGACCCTTATCAAATATTAGACCTTAGTGTTGATTCAATGGTTTTAATGAATCCATGTCATTAGGTCCACAAATTAAATCAAATTTTTAGGTCTAAATAGTATTACTCTTTTTTTTATACTTTTAGTTATTTTTTTAACTTTCGATTTTTTGGGTTTCTAATTTTATGGTGGATCATGAACCTAAATTTTTGAAATTAAAATTTTTGATTGGAATTAGTTTTTTTGGCACCTTTTAGTAGGACTTAAAATGTTTATAAATTTAAATTTTTTGATGTGAGCTAATTATATAACTAAAATAATGGGGTCTTCTCAAATTTTGAGGCCTAAGCTTTATTAACTATGAGGTAGGGGTAGGGCCGGCCCTGGTCACTTGGTAATTTCACCACTCATGGACAAGTATTTCTCTCATTATTACACCACATGACTAACCTTCCTTGCAAGATCACAATTGTGTACTTCATTAACTACACCAAATGCTTTATTTCTCCAACACTTGTCACATTTGCTTTACAAATATTTAACACGACATTTATTTTCTTTTGACATGAAACATATTCAATATACTCATCTTCACATAAGAAATTCATTTGTCGAGTTCCATTTAATTATTTTGAACTCTCTCGATCAAATAAAATCCTATGTGTTCCATTATCAATACTCAAAATTTCATTCTTAATTACAACTCTATATAAAAATCCGGGATGTTACATCATGTGAGACACAATGAAACATTAGGAGGTTACTTTATAGGGTTGAGATATCTCGCCATTCTTTACCAATTTATTTTGGATTAGATACTCTCAACATAGTATTATTGCTTGGCCTTCGGTGGTCAGTTGGCTAAGTCTCTCGCCCATTTGAAATCTTTGGTATGTGGTTTAGTGTGTTTCGGTTCAGTTTATTAGTCGATGTGCGAGTGTGATTGGACGTGAAGTAAGATGTGAAGAGAGCTTGTATCCCACATCATAAAATTAATACCATGTAAGGTTGATTTATATTGTAAAGGATCCTCTCCTCTCGTTGCTACCTGATTTGATGCNATTAAACTGGTCAAGTTAAGCCCCTCTGGAAGACTGAACCGGACTGAAAAAGGGGGCTGGACCACTAAACCGGACTATCTGAGCCCTTTGGACTGCTAAACCGGACCGGTTGTACTTGTTGGATCACAGAACCGGGCCGGTTTGACTTCCTGACCAGCTGAACCGGATTAGTTGGACCCTCTGAATCGGATTGAACCGGTCTAAGCTGGACCGAGTCTCGAGTTAGACCGTGGGTTGGCTTAGACTTAAAATAATTTAAGTCGATGGGTTTGACCCGGGCTTGACCCAATTTGACCCAACCCATTGGATTTCTTCTTCTTCGTTAAGGTTAGGGTTCCCAGAGAACCCTCTGGTCTTTGACGGCACCATACACCACCACAGTCACACCTCCACCACGAACAACACTACTCAACGATGAACAAGGACCACACCATCACCATGAACGATCACCTAACCACACCAACAGTCGACGATGAATAGATATCGCACCACCACCATGAGCGATCACACCACCACACCAACAATCGACAATGAACAGGAACTACCACAATAACATAGCCACACCACCACAATAACCCAACCACATGCCACCACAATAACACAGTCACACCATCACAACAATGGTAATAAATTTAAGATCGTAAGAGCTCTGATACCATGTTAAATTAAGATAATTAACATAACACAATATTAGAGATAATATTAGAGAGAAAAAGAGAGGTTAAAAACTTGGCCTAACTCTCATACATCACTTATATTTATAGTTAACCTACAATAATAAAAATTACACATACACCCTCTTACTATTAATAATTTGCACATACTACCCTACTATTCTTAACAATATTTTAAATAGAAACAACTTTTGTGGTGATTATTTTGTTCTATGTGACTGTGCATGTAAGTAATTGGCGAAGCAGGGTGTAGAGCTCTTAGAGACATATCTGTAGCAACAATCAATGGGAGATTCAACTGATTTGCTTTTCACAATAGCCACCAACATCCAAATCGTAACTAAATTTATAAAGTGACCAAAAGAATTCTCCTCACTTGGAAACATGGCTTACAATTTAACTTAGTGAGAGTAAGGCAAGAGAAATCGTGGTCATGAGAGCTTGTCCCTGGGGTGACCTAAGCTTTGTCTCGACATTCGTATTCTTGGTTGACTTCTTTTCTCTTATTTTTTGTGTGGGGGACAATGTTAAGTTGGAAAATTTAAAAATATGGATGCATGATTTAAGAACATGTGGGGATCCTAGCGAAGAATGAGGGAATAGGTCATGAAATTTTTAATATGCAATTCCGTCTATATATGAACACATGTAAACATACACATATGCACACGCACCAATACACATAAATAAGAAAGCAATAATTGATGTTACATCAAGTTATGGTGATTCTTTACTCCAACAATTTGCCCACCATTTTTGTGGAATACTACATTTTTTTTCGTGACAATTGTATTCCACGCGCATTTAAGTCAATGACAAACTAAAGTGCAAGGCTCTTACAGACAGATGCACCCAAAACGGACATGCTAACCATATTGTGCTACATTTTGTCCCACTACTTGAGAGCATTTAGATCTCGCTGATTGATGAACTATCAAGCCGAACTCGCCCACCCTTTTGGGCACAAGGACGCGAGAACTGGTTTGACTTAACTACTAGGGTTGATTGTTTGTTCTCGATTTTGATGGGAAGTTGTTCCCCATGCAATTGTAAGTGGTCTAAGCCCTTGAATGGGGAAGCAAATGCAGCAATGACGCTTACCTTAGATGGTTCCCTCGGGTCAGATGAAGGGATTTCCGTATTATGTAATAAATCCTGCAAAACAGGATACCTAGCAAGAATCAAGCTCAACATGAGAGGGTTAAAGCTAGTGGTCGACCTAGAAGCATGAAGAAAGATTCTGTTGTTGCAGATATAACGCTAGGGTTAATTACCACTGTACTATCTGCTTCACCACTGTTGCCTCCATTACGGTTGCCATTGGCTTCCATGCGAAACCCGAATCCGATGCGCATACGGAAACCTAATCCAATGTTAGTATTGCCACTAAAATCTTTGCTAGGATCGCTCCTCATGCCAGTTCTACCACCAATTCCTTTCATCATTGTCTTAGACAAAACTCTTATCTCCACCATATCCACTACCCTAACCATGTCCTTATCCTTTGCCAAATTTTGACCATCAATTGCACAGCAATGGTTGGCATCTTCTCTGCCTCCACTACCTCCTCCTCCATCACTATCTACTCCACCACACTTTTCAAAACGTTTACCATCACCAAAACCGCTACTAAAACTGTTGCCACCACGATGACCAATTCCTCCAATGCCAAAGCCACTGCCATGACTAGGCCCTCCAGTGGAACCACCATCAGCTCATCCTTCTCCTCCAAAGCCATCACTATCTTTGCATCCAGCAAATCCAGCACATGCCCCAAAAAATGCATCCAAGTCTATGCCTCAATTGATACTACTACCACCATCTCCACCTCCAGAGCACCCATCACCACCACCACCCCTTACAAAAACCCCATATCCAAAACTTTCACCATCACCACACCCACCACCTAATCTTAAGGTGTCAAACACTTCGACATCATTCATAGCTTGAATGGTTCGTTCGTAGGGATGGGAAAAAAAAAAAAGCTTAATAAAGAAGCAGCCTCAAACTATAGTCTTAAGGTTGTAGTTGTTGAACGCGCAACCAAGAGGAGAGCTATAGGAGCTATAAGCTAATAGAATAGGAAGCTACCGAAGAACCGAGCTACTAGGAAAAAAGAGCTACTAGCTAGCAACTAGGAGAGGAACTCTAAACTAGCTACTAGAGGAAGTCAACAGAAATCCTAAACCTAAGGGAAATATATTCTCTCACTTGCCCGCCGTTTTGAAAAGACTTGAGGAGCTACTCGAAGCTTTGTTGGACATGCGATAGCTTGTTGAAGCTTTGCTTCCCCTAATATTTGACTTGTGAAGAGAGCATGTGTAACACCTTGACCCAACTCCATAGTAGTNAAAATCATTCTGCCAATGCTTGTCTTTTTTGGAATGCTTCCTTTTTATGTATTGTTCACAGTACCGCAGTCTGGAAAGCCCAGAAACCTCTCGTGTCATCAAGATCAATAGTTCCTCTGGATTAGGCATACGAGGTCCATTAGTTAGTTTTCAAAAACTCTGACAAACCATTGAGGAGTGGAAGTTGATATTCTGATAGTTGTCTGGAATTCCTCACAGTAGTGTAAGTAGCCAATGAAGGCGAGGTCTGTATTCCATTTGAGCTTTAATCTCTCTATGTATATACGGCTATCATTAAAGGATTATTGCATTGTTCCAGTGTTTTTTTTAATTATTAGTTCTATAACTTAATATATATTTAGTGTGTTCCGTTGCTACTGATGGAAGCTGGATCTATATATGTTCATGTCATTTTCACTATTTTTTGTGGGGTTGTATGCAAAGTCGACTTGGCACAAGTTCGTAAGAAATCANAAAAACCCCATATCCAAAACTTTCACCATCACCAAACCCACCACCTAATCTTAAGGTGTCAAACACTTCGACATCATTCATAGCTTGAATGGTTCGTTCGTAGGGATGGAAAAAAAAAAGCTTAATAAAGAAGCAGCCTCAAACTATAGTCTTAAGGTTGTAGTTGTTGAACGCGCAACCAGAGAGGAGAGCTATAGGAGCTAATAGCTAATAGAATAGGAAGCTACCGAAGAACTGAGCTACTAGGAAAAAAGAGCTACTAGCTAGCAACTAGGAGAGGAACTCTAAACTAGCTACTAGAGGAAGTCAACAGAAATCCTAAACCTAAGGGAAATATATTCTCTCACTTGCCCGCCGTTTTGAAAAGACTTGAGGAGCTACTCGAAGCTTTGTTGGACATGCGATAGCTTGTTGAAGCTTTGCTTCCCCTAATATTTGACTTGTGAAGAGAGCATGTGTAACACCTTGACCCAACTCCATAGTAGTTAGAACGCTAATTTTCTCAATAATACAAAATCCAATTTCCAAAGCAATACACATTTCAACTTTCACAAAATTAAAACAACAAATTTTCCGAGCATCAGTCCATATGCAAATCCCACTTAGAAATTCCTTCTCTAACCTCGAAATTGATTCACCTCCATCCACCCTAGTTATAGTTGTTCCTATTCCTGGATACCTTTTACCCTAAAAAAGATGTAGAGAAAATAGGGTGAGCGCCAATATGCTTAGTGGGTTAATCCAATTTTAAAACAAACAAGGTTTGAATATAAATAATTTGTAGTGATTGGGAATTAAAATAGATTTACAAATACTTATATATAAGTTGAAACAATTTCAATATCAGCCAGTACCCAAGACTGAAAGCTACTGGGCCACCAAAACTGATGAACTCAGTGAATCCCTCTATGATTTCATCCTGGAATATAGGTCCTCTGCTGCTTAATTTTATGTGCACATACTTTTCACAAAAATGGATATAAGTCATTTTTTACAAAATAGATCAAAATGTCATGGTTTAAACAGCTTCGAAGAACACACTCGAATCTGAACTTACCAAACACAGTAAGCAACCCCACATAGATAAAAAAATTTAGAACTTGATTTCTAAAATAATTTGAGTATTAAAAGGTTAAAAAATCCAAGTCTCTTTGAGAACTGAAATAACCTATCACCGGTTCAGATTAGTTTTATCCTCTTTCTCTCTCCAGTTCATCACTTTTCTTCTTTCTTCCCCCTCTTCTCTTTCTTGCCTCGTCTTCTTGGTTTTCTCTCTATTGTTCTCTTCTTCTTTCTTTTATCTTCTTTGCCACATAACAAAACCATCCTATGTATATAACACAACAAAAATATTAACAGTCCCTTCCATGGACATGTGTCTCCATTGCATGCAATGACTCCTTTTCCTCTAGACACTTTGTATGTTCACATAGATGTCACCTCTTTTCCTTGTTATACCTTGTTGCCAGTTCAACCAACCTTCATTTATTACTCTTCCATGCATGATGACAAATGTCCTCACATTTTTCACTCCCTCACAAACATCTTTGCACTTTAAACTTAGTCACTTGTAGGGGTGACCCAAGATATTTTGAGGCCTAAAGCAATTACACCGAATGAGACCTTTTATTTTTAATATTAAAATTTTATTTAAAATTGATTTATTTTTATTTTTTTGTGTGTGTGATAGAGGGAGAGTGAGTAAGTATTGTTGAGAGTTGTTTTAACTTTTGTTTTTATTTTTTAAGAGAGAGAGTAAATGTGGGATAAATACGACTTTACTTTTGAGTAGATTTTTTTTATAGCAATGCTATTGAATTTAATTTATTAACCTAATTTACTGATCTAATTCACTATGGTCTTTGGATTGACTGTGACCCTTATCAAATATTAGACCTTAGTGTTGATTCAATGGTTTTAATGAATCCATGTCATTAGGTCCACAAATTAAATCAAATTTTTAGGTCTAAATAGTATTACTCTTTTTTTTTATACTNCTCTATGATTTCATCCTGGAATATAGGTCCTCTGCTGCTTAATTTTATGTACACATACTTTTCACAAAAATGGATATGAGAAGTCATTTTTTACAAAATAGATCAAAATGTCATGGTTTAAACAGCTTCGAAGAACNCACTATGATTTCATCCTGGAATATAGGTCCTCTGCTGCTTAATTTTATGTGCACATACTTTTCACAAAAATGGATATAAGTCATTTTTTACAAAATAGATCAAAATGTCATGGTTTAAACAGCTTCGAAGAACACACTCGAATCTGAACTTACCAAACACAGTAAGCAACCCCACATAGATAAAAAAATTTAGAACTTGATTTCTAAAATAATTTGAGTATTAAAAGGTTAAAAAATCCAAGTCTCTTTGAGAACTGAAATAACCTATCACCGGTTCAGATTAGTTTTATCCTCTTTCTCTCTCCAGTTCATCACTTTTCTTCTTTCTTCCCCCTCTTCTCTTTCTTGCCTCGTCTTCTTGGTTTTCTCTCTATTGTTCTCTTCTTCTTTCTTTTATCTTCTTTGCCACATAACAAAACCATCCTATGTATATAACACAACAAAAATATTAACAGTCCCTTCCATGGACATGTGTCTCCATTGCATGCAATGACTCCTTTTCCTCTAGACACTTTGTATGTTCACATAGATGTCACCTCTTTTCCTTGTTATACCTTGTTGCCAGTTCAACCAACCTTCATTTATTACTCTTCCATGCATGATGACAAGTGTCCTCACATTTTTCACTCCCTCACACAAACATCTTTGCACTTTAAACTTAGTCACTTGTAGGGGTGACCCAAGATATTTNTTGTTGCCAGTTCAACCAACCTTCATTTATTACTCTTCCATGCATGATGACAAATGTCCTCACATTTTTCACTCCCTCACAAACATCTTTGCACTTTAAACTTAGTCACTTGTAGGGGTGACCCAAGATATTTTGAGGCCTAAAGCAATTACACCGAATGAGACCTTTTATTTTTAATATTAAAATTTTATTTAAAATTGATTTATTTTTATTTTTTTGTGTGTGTGATAGAGGGAGAGTGAGTAAGTATTGCAGAGAGTTGTTTTAACTTTAGTTTTTATTTTTTAAGAGAGAGAGTAAATGTGGGATAAATACGACTTTACTTTTGAGTAGATNTTTATTTAAAATTGATTTATTTTTATTTTTTTGTGTGTGTGATAGAGGGAGAGTGAGTAAGTATTGTTGAGAGTTGTTTTAACTTTTGTTTTTATTTTTTAAGAGAGAGAGTAAATGTGGGATAAATACGACTTTACTTTTGAGTAGATTTTTTTTATAGCAATGCTATTGAATTTAATTTATTAACCTAATTTACTGATCTAATTCACTATGGTCTTTGGATTGACTGTGACCCTTATCAAATATTAGACCTTAGTGTTGATTCAATGGTTTTAATGAATCCATGTCATTAGGTCCACAAATTAAATCAAATTTTTAGGTCTAAATAGTATTACTCTTTTTTTTATACTTTTAGTTATTTTTTTAACTTTCGATTTTTTGGGTTTCTAATTTTATGGTGGATCATGAACCTAAATTTTTGAAATTAAAATTTTTGATTGGAATTAGTTTTTTTGGCACCTTTTAGTNATCCATGTCATTAGGTCCACAAATTAAATCAAATTTTTAGGTCTAAATAGTATTACTCTTTTTTTTTATACTTTTAGTTATTTTTTTAACTTTCGATTTTTTGGGTTTCTAATTTTATGGTGGATCATGAACCTAAATTTTTGAAATTAAAATTTTTGATTGGAATTAGTTTTTTTGGGACCTTTTAGTAGGACTTAAAATGTTTATAAATTTAAATTTTTTGATGTGAGCTAATTATATAACTAAAATAATGGGGTCTTCTCAAATTTTGAGGCCTAAGCTTTATTAACTATGAGGTAGGGGTAGGGCCGGCCCTGGTCACTTGGTAATTTCACCACTCATGGACAAGTATTTCTCTCATTATTACACCACATGACTAACCTTCCTTGCAAGATCACAATTGTGTACTTCATTAACTACACCAAATGCTTTATTTCTCCAACACTTGTCACATTTGCTTTACAAATATTTAACACGACATTTATTTTCTTTTGACATGAAACATATTCAATATACTCATCTTCACATAAGAAATTCATTTGTCGAGTTCCATTTAATTATTTTGAACTCTCTCGATCAAATAAAATCCTATGTGTTCCATTATCAATACTCAAAATTTCATTCTTAATTACAACTCTATATAAAAATCCGGGATGTTACATCATGTGAGACACAATGAAACATTAGGAGGTTACTTTATAGGGTTGAGATATCTCGCCATTCTTTACCAATTTATTTTGGATTAGATACTCTCAACATAGTATTATTGCTTGGCCTTCGGTGGTCAGTTGGCTAAGTCTCTCGCCCATTTGAAATCTTTGGTATGTGGTTTAGTGTGTTTCGGTTCAGTTTATTAGTCGATGTGCGAGTGTGATTGGACGTGAAGTAAGATGTGAAGAGAGCTTGTATCCCACATCATAAAATTAATACCATGTAAGGTTGATTTATATTGTAAAGGATCCTCTCCTCTCGTTGCTACCTGATTTGATGCCTCTCAACATAACCAACCTGCAATGAACTCAACTGCCAAAGTGCAGACCATATACATTCGATATTTATATTTTGCATGGGCTCAAACATCATTGTAATTTATTCTAGCTCTTCCTGATTCATATATAGTGTACGAAACGTGTGTAATCCTGAGCTCTGCTCATGACCAGGATCCATATTCCACTTTCAAGCAGGCACGAGAAGGGAGCAACCAAGAAATTTCACCATTGTCCTACTCTGGTAGTTTTCGTGTTATGCTGGCTGTTATGTTCACTTTTTCTGTCTTCCTCCTTTTTATTTCTGTATTTTTCTGTCTTTTTATTTCTTTATCAAATTGCTGTTTTGAGAATGTGTCCATTTAGGAGCTGAAAAGTGTTCAGGGCTTGATCAAATCAAACAACGGGCAGAATTCACTCCAGAAGATGGTAGGATCAGGAATGCCATATATGGTGCGAGACAACGGGAGCAAAAACGGAAGAATTTGAACGAAAAGGTCTGGAAATACCCTTTGCTTCTACTTTCACTGATTGTTTCTGCTTTTGTCAAAATACTCTTCTGATTAGAGTTCCATCCATCATGTTCTAATTAGACAAAAAGGCCCTCTATTCTTGGTTATGGAGTTTCCTCAGTTACCTGTAGAGTTTTGTCACTGAAAATACCGATCCATCTTTTCTTGATTCTTCCGGTATTTTGTTTACTTTTCATGGTTACTAGTACTGTTTCTTTTGCTTTTTCTCTCTTGTAATTGTTGTTATTGTTTTCTGCTTGGAATCAAATCATCGCCTTAAAATGTAGATTCTGCAATAGCCTTACCACAATATGGAAGGTTGCTTTATACTTTCACTGGGGAGACATTCATATTTTTGGTTGTTTGGAGCAGTTTGAAATTTTCCTAGCTACAAACTTTTTTTCAGAATGTCTCTTTTTAACCTCGCATCAAAAAAAAAAATTGTTAATTAATGAGTAGTCACTTAGATGTGGCTTGTATACGTACCATGAACAAGGTGCCCATGTCAAGCTGATGTTGAATTCAGTTAAAACAATTCAACTGCAGTTGTTAGTGTTTTATTAGGAAAGAAAAACAGATGATGTAGAGAGAGAGATCTGGCTACCACTCTGTTATATATTTGGACTTGCAGGTGATCTTTATTTACAAGTACTGCTGTAAAATTACTGACTTTACCATTATTGAATATCTGGCCATCCAATTCAGATTACAAATTGGCAAACTGGACACTTCGGTTTGTCCACTATAAATTTTGCCTTACATCTTCTAATCTAGTAACTAATAGCATATCATATGTTCAAGCAGGGAACACCTTCTCTCTTGAGATTCTTTCAAAGTGACAAACCTGTAGAATCTTCATCCTCAGGTGATGTTAACCTCCTCTATCAGATTGAAGTTTCTCTCTCTCTCTCTCTCTCTCTCTCTCTCTCATCAAATTTTGGTGCAGGCTCCAAGTCAAATTCTGAACTAATTGAAGAGGAGCTACCTCTAGAAAGGCTGCTCAAAAAGGATGGAAATGACATGGGCACATCTGATTCAGGTCGAGATGAACCGACAGGTGCGTGGGGTTACAACATTGATGAGATTGACCCCACTGTGGTTAATGAGTTACCGCCAGAAATCCAAGAAGAAGTGCGGACTTGGCTAAGGCCTCACAAGCGGGCTGATTTAGTGAAACGTGGATCTAATATCACCCATTATTTCTACCCGCAAAGAATACATAAAGAAAATCCAAATTCTTGAACAGTACGTAGGATCCAACCAGAAAATCATTCTCCCAATGCTTGTCTTTTTTGGAATGCTTCCTTTTTATGTATTGTTCACAGTACCGCAGTCTGGAAAGCCAAGAAACCTCTCGTGTCATCAAGATCAATAGTTCCTCTGGATTAGGCATACGAGGTCCATTAGTTAGTTTTCAAAAACTCTGACAAACCATTGAGGAGTGGAAGTTGATATTCTGATAGTTGTCTGGAATTCCTCACAGTAGTGTAAGTAGCCAATGAAGGCGAGGTCTGTATTCCATTTGAGCTTTAATCTCTCTATGTATATACGGCTATCATTAAAGGATTATTGCATTGTTCCAGTGTTTTTTTTAATTATTAGTTCTATAACTTAATATATATTTAGTGTGTTCCGTTGCTACTGATGGAAGCTGGATCTATATATGTTCATGTCATTTTCACTATTTTTTGTGGGGTTGTATGCAAAGTCGACTTGGCACAAGTTCGTAAGAAATCAGAGCTTACTGCTTAATGGTATGTTTTTTCCTTTCTTTAGAAAAATATATTTTGTTCTTTTTTTCTTGGCCATTAGTTTGAAACATGGTAGATCCTGTGCAGGGTTATATGGGTCTAAGTAAAGAATTGATTGGGTCTATCTTAAGAATTGATTCTCCGTGGTTCCTCTATTGTGTATGTGTTAGTCTTTTTCTTGCGGGAAGATAGAAACGAAATCTTGTTGGATCGAACTCAACCTGAGCTCAGTGTAGGAGTTGAATTTGAGCTGGAGTTTTTGAAACTGTGTTTAGTTTGAGTTTGTACAGAAGGATTTCAAATTTGAGTTTGAGTTTGGTTGAAGCTCTGGGTTGGTCGAATTCAGCTTCACTGAAATTAGCATTTCAAATCTGAATTTAGCCTGCTGAGACTTAAAAGACTTTTCCTTTGTTCAAACTACAACTAAGCATTGCACACATGCCTTAAACTGAGTTCTTATTGTTCGCCATTTTACATATATTTTTTTGTTCCTGGGTTTAATTTCAACTTGTATTCTGAAAGATTACTCGAATTTTAATTTGTACTCTCAAAATTAAAAAATATCAATTTATATCTTGAAAGATATAAATTTGTATCAATGTGCACTTGGGGTTAACAGTTATTTATTTTGCCTTTAAAAAAATTTGGGATAATTACAAATTGTACTTTCAAAGTTTAAATATTTCACATTTATGATTAAAAAAGAATATTCATTAATATTCGTTAAATACCTCTCAATTGTGTTATATTGTGATATTTTGTGTCATGTTGTGTTTGAGTCGATAAAAAAATATTTTTAACACAATATATTTGTGTCGAGTTAATTGTGTTGTGTTGTATATTTTACATTTACTACAATTTATATAATAATATTTAATATTTTTTAAAAATTATAAAATATCTTATTTTTACCTACAATACTCATTAAATAGCTATTTTTGGTCTACAGTTGTGCTATTCATATCTAATTTTAATTTGATCGAATACTCAAAAGATTCGTGTCTAAGTATAGACAGAAAATAACTATTTAACAAGTATTGTAAATAAAAAATAAGTATTTTATAATTATTTTAAAATTTTAAAAATATTTTTTTATTGACTCGAACATAACACGATATAATTAAGAGTTATTTAACCAGTATTAATGAAAGAAATTCTTTTTTGATCATTAAAATTAAATATTTAAACTTTAAGGGTGCAATTTATAATTAGTCTAAATTTTTTTAACGGCAAAATGGATGGCAATTAATTTCAGATGCACATTGATTAGAATTTATGTCTTTTAGGGTGTAAATTGATATTTTTAAACTTTGAGGGTACAAATTAAAATTCAAGTGATATTTCAAGGTACAAGTTGAGATTAACCTTTTTTTTTTTTTTTTTTGCCCTTTTTGCTACTCCAAGAAAAGGACAAATATAATCTTTCACGAAGAGGCATCAAAATGAATAGTTAGTATAGTCTACTTACTCACATGAAATGATTATATAGTTTGATCCCCACATCACAGTTGGCTCAGTCAAGATAACTTCAACCAATCAATTGCCCGAAGCTTGACATGATAAAGACACTTCTAGCCGAAATCCCTGCTTTGGCCAGCGTAATAGCTAGAGGAATGACTCTTCTTTATACCTCGCGTTGAGTTGAAGAAGGAGAATTCTTAATTTAGCTTTACACCTCAATAACAGAAAAAAATATTGATTCAATTCTAATAAGCCCGACTTGTAGTGATCCTGTAGACACAAAACTCAAAATCTTGTTCTAAAAAGTGTGGAGGTTTGAGTCCTCTTAAAGAAGGTTATTGCACACCCTTAATCCTTTATTTTGACATTGATTCAAAAAATATTAGCACATTACTTGATGTACTTACGAGCCAAAAGAAAAATAGGAGTAAGCTATGATGTTTTCGTTTGCTAAACAAATCCTTTTGCATGATTGGGAAAACAAGTTGAAAAATGAAATTATTCTTCAATAGGCCAACATTTACCGGATAATAAATTTTTTACGTTCTGCCAAGTAATTAGTATTCCTTTAGGCGACCTTGATGTGGGCTAGTTAGGACTATTGAGGCTAGTTAGGACTATTGCTTGGAAGAAATCGAGTCTTATTAAGGTCTCCGGTCATAACCCCGGACTGGAGCCTAAGGTTCAGATTGTTGCTCAGGAGTTTATTCCTATCTTGGCTTGTTTGGGCCTTCGTGTTGAGGGTTGGCTCTTCTTAAGTCCCTTCTGTTGGAATAAAATAAAAAATTGTAAAATTTCTTATTCATTTTTTCCTTGCTTTAATAGGTATTCTGCTATTTGTAAGTTTTTATATTTTTCGAGTCTTTGTTTGAGGTGAGATTCTATAATTTGATGGTTACCTCTGTTCTTCAATTCCCTTCCCCGGGCAACTTGAATTCTTTTTTACTATTTGAATTATATAAATGATAAACTTAATTGTATAGCATGTGATTTAAGCTTGGAAGAATGTGGTGAGCTTGAGCAAGGAAAAACTAAAAAGCAAAACTGCAAGCAAGACACTATCTACAAAACAAAAACAAAAAAACATTGAAAATGTTATGGAATGATGTGGAACGGTACTAAGTTGCTATATGACAAACTATAAAGCACGGATACTTCATTGAGATCGGTGTATTCGTATCGAATACTTTATCGGATACAGTACTCGTCGAATACTCAAAGACACGTATCGGATATTCCTCCTACGTATCCGATAATAATTAAATATTATGATACTTCACAGATACTTTTGTGTTCAAGCAATATATATAAATTTTGAGTCGAATTTTTAATATTTCTTTTCGAATTCACATACCACACAATATATTTACAAAAATTCATACTACTTCAAAGACACATGAGTATGTTTTAAGTATTATCTACAATTACATATCAAAAGAGCATAAAATAAATATATTACATTATAGCTTTAGCAAAAATCAGTTCTAAGTAAACCGACTCGGTTAATGTTAGCTTTGATTCCTTTAATTAATCACTTCACTTTGTGAATATACCATAGTGATGCGATATATATTTTCTTCAAACTAAAAAGAATTACAAATTTTTCTTATTGTGTTAAAGAACTAGCAAAATATATAAGTATTATGCTGATTGAAAATAATAAAAATATTGAATTTATTTTATTATAGTCCTATCTAGACCGTACTCGTATCCTTCTTTTTTAGATTTGTCGTATCGCCGTATCCGTATCGTATCATACCCGTATTTCATATTTGTATCCGTGCTTCATAGATGACAAGTCATGTTGGTTGTTATATATGTTGAATTTGTTGTCATAATATTGCTCAATCTAATTGGACTTTGATTCTTTATTAGAGTTGTGCCACTGAAAGCAAAATAAAATCACGTATAGCCTGCTCTTAAACAAATATACTAGCTGAGTCTTCTCTAAATCAATGGATGTTTCATTTTTATTGTCGAAGCTCAAGGGATCTTGAGACGTTAAAAGAAGTTGGAGTGGCACCTGGTGGTAAGGGCCACTAAGGACAAGTAGGATAAGGCAACCTACTGGTCACTTCAATGGATGTTTAATAGGTTTGGAAGTTGTAGCAATATGGCTGGCATTTGAAGTTGAATGACAGAAAAGTTCATTCAGAACCTACAGAATACTAGAAAAATTCCCCTCATCCATCCATGCCCAAAATTCGACAAATATTCAGTCCCCCACCAGAAGCTTCTCTTCTAAATTCTTGACAAAACTTTTTGTGCCGTTAATCACCCTGAAGTCATAGTATATGATGCTCAAGATTTACGCTATTATATTGTTGTTAAGAGCTTGCTGAGTGGTGTCCGTATTATTTGCATCCAAAAACAACCAAAGTACTTCATGATCAGGCAGCCATACAACAGTAATAGTTCCTCCAACGATGTAGTACAACTAGCAAAGAAAACTGAAATTAACTATTCTTTTCTATATTCATATTAATTATGATATATGATGGTGTGGGCAAAGAGATGAGCAGAACTCGTGAATCATACAAACAACTGTGGACTTGAGCTACAAGGCTCGTGCAAAAAACGACAGGGTTTCTAAGGAATCTTGGAAGCAAAACACAGTGCAATTACAGTGGTTCACCGACTTGAGAGCTCGGTTAATCCACTCTTCAAGGGAGTCTCTTGCTCTTTTTATCTTTATTCACCGTAGATATGACTTACAGAGTATTTTTTATGGTATTCAACTTTTTTTTTTTGTCTCTCCAGGGGGCACTGTATAGTATTTATATCATAATTTGTATCTCTAAGGGATCTACAGTGAGATCCTTGCTCTTCATCCGCGGGACTTTCCTTGATTTTAGGAGGGGATCTTGGGTGGTTGAGAGTTTCACGTCTTGATCACTGCCCTTTAGCTGTTCTGCGGACGTTTCTTCCTGACTAGTTGTTCTTTCCTTGACTCCTCTAGTTTTTTCATAAGAGAGGAGCTCGAGACCTGGGCTTCAAAGCTCTGAGCTCCCCATCTGACCTCGCTTCCCGAACTCATACTTGGTTAAAATTCTTATTCGCATATCATCAGTTGACCCCCAGCTCTTGGTTCAAGCAAGCTTGAGCAAGGGCTGAACTTAAATTGGAACAGATTAATCCCCCATTTGGTGACCTAGATGTTCATGTAGACAAATTTTTGACGGTTACCAATAATCATTTCTCTTCTCGTTTCTCGCGCACGTTGCCCACTTCGAAACCCCTTATACCGTTAGCTTTAAATGCTTCCTGGATCAATGGTTCCCTCCTCACTCTTTCGAATTCTCGCTGGTTCTTCTTCTTTACTTTCTTGCGACTTCATCTTCCCCAACTTGCCATCGTCCTTAGGTTTCCCAGAGAGACGATTTCCCTTAATTTGACCTGAAGGCTTAGCGTAGCTTGGTTTCGGACTTTGTTCTTGAGCTTTAATCCATCGTTGGTTCTCGTTTAGGTACGTCTTTCATCCCTTTCCTAGTTCCTCATTCTGGATCCCTCAAATTTGAGGTGGCTATTGCATTTTTGGACTTTTCGATTCTGCTATTTTAGGAATTGAAACCTCTCCCTGTCTTGTATCCTTCTCTTTCTGGATCCTTACTCTACGGCTAGGTTTTTTATTATTGGTCGTTTGAGTCTTGCCCCTGACTCTCAGAGAGTGTTTCTTAGAGGTTCCTCCGCTTTATAGGTCCTTTAAACTTTCTTTCTCTTACCCAGTTATGTCCACTTCCTCTGAAGCCACGGGTTCTTCCATCTCTCTAATGAGGGATAAGTCCGCTGAGGAGGACTCCAATCTGGGAGATGTGGGGTAGGAAATTGATAATTTTTCCGGCGTGGATTCTGTCGACATNAAACAGATGATGTAGAGAGAGAGATCTGGCTACCACTCTGTTATATATTTGGACTTGCAGGTGATCTTTATTTACAAGTACTGCTGTAAAATTACTGACTTTACCATTATTGAATATCTGGCCATCCAATTCAGATTACAAATTGGCAAACTGGACACTTCGGTTTGTCCACTATAAATTTTGCCTTACATCTTCTAATCTAGTAACTAATAGCATATCATATGTTCAAGCAGGGAACACCTTCTCTCTTGAGATTCTTTCAAAGTGACAAACCTGTAGAATCTTCATCCTCAGGTGATGTTAACCTCCTCTATCAGATTGAAGTTTCTCTCTCTCTCTCTCTCTCTCTCTCTCTCTCATCAAATTTTGGTGCAGGCTCCAAGTCAAATTCTGAACTAATTGAAGAGGAGCTACCTCTAGAAAGGCTGCTCAAAAAGGATGGAAATGACATGGGCACATCTGATTCAGGTCGAGATGAACCGACAGGTGCGTGGGGTTACAACATTGATGAGATTGACCCCACTGTGGTTAATGAGTTACCGCCAGAAATCCAAGAAGAAGTGCGGACTTGGCTAAGGCCTCACAAGCGGGCTGATTTAGTGAAACGTGGATCTAATATCACCCATTATTTCTACCCGCAAAGAATACATAAAGAAAATCCAAATTCTTGAACAGTACGTAGGATCCAACCAGAAAATCATTCTCCCAATGCTTGTCTTTTTTGGAATGCTTCCTTTTTATGTATTGTTCACAGTACCGCAGTCTGGAAAGCCAAGAAACCTCTCGTGTCATCAAGATCAATAGTTCCTCTGGATTAGGCATACGATGTCCATTAGTTAGTTGTCTGGAATTCCTCACAGTAGTGTAAGTAGCCAATGAAGGCGAGGTCTGTATTCCATTTGAGCTTTAATCTCTCTATGTATATACGGCTATCATTAAAGGATTATTGCATTGTTCCAGTGTTTTTTTTAATTATTAGTTCTATAACTTAATATATATTTAGTGTGTTCCGGTGCTACTGATGGAAGCTGGATCTATATATGTTCATGTCATTTTCACTATTTTTTGTGGGGTTGTATGCAAAGTCGACTTGGCACAAGTTCGTAAGAAATCAGAGCTTACTGCTTAATGGTATGTTTTTTCCTTTCTTTAGAAAAATATATTTTGTTCTTTTTTTCTTGGCCATTAGTTTGAAACATGGTAGATCCTGTGCAGGGTTATATGGGTCTAAGTAAAGAATTGATTGGGTCTAAGTTAAGAATTGATTCTCCGTGGTTCCTCTATTGTGTATGTGTTAGTCTTTTTCTTGCGGGAAGATAGAAACGAAATCTTGTTGGATCGAACTCAACCTGAGCTCAGTGTAGGAGTTGAATTTGAGCTGGAGTTTTTGAAACTGTGTTTAGTTTGAGTTTGTACAGAAGGATTTCAAATTTGAGTTTGAGTTTGGTTGAAGCTCTGGGTTGGTCGAATTCAGCTTCACTGAAATTAGCATTTCAAATCTGAATTTAGCCTGCTGAGACTTAAAAGACTTTTCCTTTGTTCAAACTACAACCAAGCATTGCACACATGCCTTAAACTGAGTTCTTATTGTTCGCCATTTTACATATATTTTTTTGTTCCTGGGGTTAATTTCAACTTGTATTCTGAAGGATTACTCGAATTTTAATTTGTACTCTCAAAATTAAAAAATATCAATTTATATCTTGAAAGATATAAATTTGTATCAATGTGCACTTGGGGTTAACAGTTATTTATTTTGCCTTTAAAAAAATTTGGGATAATTACAAATTGTACNGAGTGTGGAGGTTTGAGTCCTCTTAAAGAAGGTTATTGCACACCCTTAATCCTTTATTTTGACATTGATTCAAAAAATATTAGCACATTACTTGATGTACTTACGAGCCAAAAGAAAAATAGGAGTAAGCTATGATGTTTTCGTTTGCTAAACAAATCCTTTTGCATGATTGGGAAAACAAGTTGAAAAATGAAATTATTCTTCAATAGGCCAACATTTACCGGATAATAAATTTTTTACGTTCTGCCAAGTAATTAGTATTCCTTTAGGCGACCTTGATGTGGGCTAGTTAGGACTATTGAGGCTAGTTAGGACTATTGCTTGGAAGAAATCGAGTCTTATTAAGGTCTCCGGTCATAACCCCGGACTGGAGCCTAAGGTTCAGATTGTTGCTCAGGAGTTTATTCCTATCTTGGCTTGTTTGGGCCTTCGTGTCGAGGGTTGGCTCTTCTTAAGTCCCTTCTGTTGGAATAAAATAAAAAATTGTAAAATTTCTTATTCATTTTTTCCTTGCTTTAATAGGTATTCTGCTATTTGTAAGTTTTTATATTTTTCTAGTCTTTGTTTGAGGTGAGATTCTATAATTTGATGGTTACCTCTGTTCTTCAATTCCCTTCCCCGGGCAACTTGAATTCTTTTTTACTATTTGAATTATATAAATGATAAACTTAATTGTATAGCATGTGATTTAAGCTTGGAAGAATGTGGTGAGCTTGAGCAAGGAAAAACTAAAAAGCAAAACTGCAAGCAAGACACTATCTACAAAACAAAAACAAAAAAACATTGAAAATGTTATGGAATGATGTGGAACGGTACTAAGTTGCTANAATTCCTCGATGCTGGTCTGCCCCTGACAACTTGGGTGAGCCTTTTGCTGAGTAAGTTAGGATAAACTTTAGTGTCTTTCTTGGCTGACCTTGTTCCGCTAGTTTCGTTTTTCAGGCATCAGACCAAAACTCAGTGTTACAGATGAGCTGGTTTTAAGGAATTTGGCAAACTACGACTTAGAAAAATATTCAGAGCTTATCAAGCCTCAAGTTCTTGTAAAGCTTGGATTCAGTCCGCTCGAGGTGAGGATTGAGAACCCCATTCCCCTTTCTGCTATCAGTACTGACGAGGTGGCAGACAAGTCTCCCTTTTCCCACCTTTAGGCCCTTTTGCTTCTTGCTCTTCTCTTCTTTCTTTTTCTCCTCTCTTTTTTACTTATTATGTGCTTCCAGGTTCTTCCGCAATGTAGCCTTCCCAAGAAGCGCTTGAGGCTAAGGTCGCTTTGCTAAAGAAGAGCAGGAGTGGGGCCAAGCGTAAGGGCGAAGTTGGCTCTGGTAGCAATATCCCTCGTCAAGCTAAGGCGCCCAAGCTGGGTGTGTCTTTTGTTTCTCCTACCTCAGCTCAAGTGACGCTTATTCCACCACTGAGCGTTTTGCAACTTGCAGAGGTCTCTTCTCTCCAAAGACTCTCACATACTTCAGGAGAGGTTTCTGAGCGTGGCCTAACCTCTCCCACTTCAGTCGATATCGAGAGGGCTTTGGAGACGATGACTCGAGTTTTGCCTAGCTCTGATTCTTCAGGGCTACCTGAGAAGCCTCCACTACCATCTCGGACCAGCTACAAGACTGAGAAAAGGAAGTATGCCAAAGAAGAGGGGAATGATGGCTCTTTCCTAGACAACGTCGAGCTCGCCGCTGGTGCTCTTGATTCCATCCTTCCCTTTTTCGACGTTTGGAGGGCTACTGCAATGCCTCTTGAAAACTCCATCAACGCAGCTTTGCATGGAGCTACTGTTGTAAGACCTCATTTCTTATCTCCATTTTTGGTGGTCGTTCTATGCTGACTTTCGATCCTAGTTGCCTCTGCCCCCAGTTGGCCATCTATGCGAAGGGATTGTCAAGTCGAATCCAAGATTTGGAGAGCTCCGCCAAAGCTTCAAAGGCATTCGAGCTCAAATGTGCCGAGTTGGCCTTCGCCAATCATGACCTCCAAACCCAAATCCAAGACTTGCAAATGCAGGTGAAAAAGCAAGCTTCGACCATCAGGAGCTTAGAAGCGAACGAAAAGAGGATCCAGGAAAAGCTTAAACTTAAGACAGATGCCTAGGTCAAAGCTAGCCAAGAGACATTCNGAAAAGTTCATTCAGAACCTACAGAATACTAGAAAAATTCCCCTCATCCATCCATGCCCAAAATTCGACAAATATTCAGTCCCCCACCAGAAGCTTCTCTTCTAAATTCTTGACAAAACTTTTTGTGCCGTTAATCACCCTGAAGTCATAGTATATGATGCTCAAGATTTACGCTATTATATTGTTGTTAAGAGCTTGCTGAGTGGTGTCCGTATTATTTGCATCCAAAAACAACCAAAGTACTTCATGATCAGGCAGCCATACAACAGTAATAGTTCCTCCAACGATGTAGTACAACTAGCAAAGAAAACTGAAATTAACTATTCTTTTCTATATTCATATTAATTATGATATATGATGGTGTGGGCAAAGAGATGAGCAGAACTCGTGAATCATACAAACAACTGTGGACTTGAGCTACAAGGCTCGTGCAAAAAACGACAGGGTTTCTAAGGAATCTTGGAAGCAAAACACAGTGCAATTACAGTGGTTCACCGACTTGAGAGCTCGGTTAATCCACTCTTCAAGGGAGTCTCTTGCTCTTTTTATCTTTATTCACCGTAGATATGACTTACAGAGTATTTTTTATGGTATTCAACTTTTTTTTTTTGTCTCTCCAGGGGGCACTGTATAGTATTTATATCATAATTTGTATCTCTAAGGGATCTACAGTGAGATCCTTGCTCTTCATCCGCGGGACTTTCCTTGATTTTAGGAGGGGATCTTGGGTGGTTGAGAGTTTCACGTCTTGATCACTGCCCTTTAGCTGTTCTGCGGACGTTTCTTCCTGACTAGTTGTTCTTTCCTTGACTCCTCTAGTTTTTTCATAAGAGAGGAGCTCGAGACCTGGGCTTCAAAGCTCTGAGCTCCCCATCTGACCTCGCTTCCCGAACTCATACTTGGTTAAAATTCTTATTCGCATATCATCAGTTGACCCCCAGCTCTTGGTTCAAGCAAGCTTGAGCAAGGGCTGAACTTAAATTGGAACAGATTAATCCCCCATTTGGTGACCTAGATGTTCATGTAGACAAATTTTTGACGGTTACCAATAATCATTTCTCTTCTCGTTTCTCGCGCACGTTGCCCACTTCGAAACCCCTTATACCGTTAGCTTTAAATGCTTCCTGGATCAATGGTTCCCTCCTCACTCTTTCGAATTCTCGCTGGTTCTTCTTCTTTACTTTCTTGCGACTTCATCTTCCCCAACTTGCCATCGTCCTTAGGTTTCCCAGAGAGACGATTTCCCTTAATTTGACCTGAAGGCTTAGCGTAGCTTGGTTTCGGACTTTGTTCTTGAGCTTTAATCCATCGTTGGTTCTCGTTTAGGTACGTCTTTCATCCCTTTCCTAGTTCCTCATTCTGGATCCCTCAAATTTGAGGTGGCTATTGCATTTTTGGACTTTTCGATTCTGCTATTTTAGGAATTGAAACCTCTCCCTGTCTTGTATCCCTCTCTTTCTGGATCCTTACTCTACGGCTAGGTTTTTTATTATTGGTCGTTCGAGTCTTGCCCCTGACTCTCAGAGAGTGTTTCTTAGAGGTTCCTCCGCTTTATAGGTCCTTTAAACTTTCTTTCTCTTACCCAGTTATGTCCACTTCCTCTGAAGCCACGGGTTCTTCCATCTCTCTAATGAGGGATAAGTCCGCTGAGGAGGACTCCAATCTGGGAGATGTGGGGTAGGAAATTGATAATTTTTCCGGCGTGGATTCTGTCGACATTGGGGGGAGATTCTAAGGAGCCTCCTTTTCCATCCTCC